TTAACCGAATCAATCAAGTGTATCTTCAATTAACTTTTTTTACTAAATTAATGAATATATAATTGGAAATCGAGGGTTTGATTAGATGAAATAAAAATATGATAATTTATATATAAATACATATTTTAGTATATCAAAATAAACCGACGAATTTAAGTAAACTATTTGGATCAAAATAACTTTTTTAAAAAAATTAAAGAAAAAAGACAGGAACCCAAAGTAAAGTTCTGCTTTATTTCGTGATTTAAGGTAATAAAAGGGCATCATGATCATCCATGGCCATCATAGAGCTTGTCAACAGCGTGGGCAATGGCATGTGAAAATGTCTCAGCACGATTTTCAGCCCCTTTTATTGCCTTCCTTCCTTTATTATAATCTGGCTGCCCGCTTGCTCCATCAGCCGCATTGCAGCGGAGCCGCCGTGCACAACTTCTTTTAACTTAAAAAACTTCCATGGTTTAACCCTATGCTTTCCTCCAAATTAAAGCCAATTATACCCACAACAGATTTATTAATAAAAATACATTTTTATATCATTAAAAAATAGGGGTTTTGCGTATGTTATCCACTAGGAAAAGGTGCTTTTCCATATATTATTTGGATTTATATAACTTTTGTATATAATTTTTATTGATTAGTGCTGTTTTTTATTTTAATTTTCATGAAAGTAAAAAGTATTTAGAGATAAAAAAATGTTAAATTTTATTTTTTATAATATTTTTAAAAAATTTTTACTAATATTTTACATGAAAATCTATTTATGAATCATATATGACATGAAATACAGCTACCAAACTAAAAGAAACTTTGCTTAAATTTTAGTTCATGGATAATTAAAGATGAAAGAGGAAATATTTTTCTTAAAAAAGAAGCAAAAGGAAAATGCAGACATGACAGCATTCAGTTAAAAAGTGCTGGTGTCTCAAAAACGAAAAGGGGGTCAACGTTGTCAATTTAGGCTCAGAACACAGCAAAAGCCGCCTACACCTAGTTGGGATTTTCGTTGGGAGTTGAAATGCAAGACAAGGCAAAGCCGCACCCTGTTCCATCCAGCAAAACACATTGATATTTTTCCTTTCTCTTTTTAAGTCCCA